CTTATCGAGGGTTCACGCTGAGCGAGTTAATTTCAAATTGATGTAGGTACAATTCACTTAATAGGGAGCTAGCTAGTTCTGTGGTCCTCACTGGTCACGCGCTGATTTTTTTCCACCGTTGACGTTAGGTAATGTTTTTGTAAAATTACTAATGTCCCACGTGAATTCACTGAAGTTAAATGGTTTGTAATGTTCGAAATTTATAAATATTCCTGGTCAAATAGCTGAAGTTTCCCGATTAATATGCGTTAATCACAATTATATCTTTCGATGTTTATAGGTTTATAGTAAACCCATAATAGATTATGTTTTTTTTAACGCTTCGCGTTGCTTATATCTATAGGCGTGTGGAGAGTTTCTCAAAATTTCAGTTTTACGTAACAATACTGACGCTAACACTAGCGTTTACATACACACATATATTGTTGATTCTTACACCCGAGAATTTACTACAACTTTATAGAATAGGCAGGAGTTTCGCAATACAGATTTAATAGTATAAGTTATGTACATTTCTAAATATCAATTAATTTAAACAAACATCGATATTAAAGTTAATATATAATAGTAAATCCGTCACATGTATAATATTATATAAAAAGTATTGCATATCATTCAGAAATTTGAGGTAAATTGAGATATAATTAGAATTAAAAACTAATTTTGTTAACCATAGATCTTTCATATTTTCTAAATTATGATTTTGTTATGAAATTGACTAAGTTACGTTGTTTATTGTGTGTAAATATTACATCTTTCATTTGTATCAAAATAAGTTTGGTATTAATTTTGATGTTTTTCTGTCAGTAAAATGTTTAATTTTGAATTATATCTTTAATAATTTGTTTTTGAATCCGAAAAGAGAAGTTTTGATTAGACCGTACAACTTGCAGACATTGCTTCCGACCATTTAAAATGTCAGAGTAATGTGTGCTGTGTTATCTATTTTGAAAGTTTTTAACTCAAGTTTTTATTGTGAATATGCACATATATATATATATAGATATCAGCAAAGTAGCATTAATGCGATGTCATGCTTCCATGTATTTTGTTTCATTATTTGCAATCTAATTTTGCTCAACCACGCAGTTTTAGAAACATGTTAAATTACATGGTGAAGCTTTATCTAACTTGTTTTGTAGATTTTAAATGCTATGAAATATGTCAAATTACGTGGTATTGCTATCAGCAATTTAGCATAATATGGAGATAAAAACTTTTCTTGTCAGATGCTGGCAAATTCCATTAAAGTTTAAAGCTTGTTGTAATATATTTTTTGACTTTTCAGAAACTTAAAAAGTTTCATATTTCTTGGATGTAAAATATTTTTTCAAAAGAAAAACAAAAGTTATCGTGTATTTCCTTCTAGTCAGGTTTTACAAATAGCATAAATCTGTGTTGTGTTTCCTATTCTAGCTGGGATCCGTAATAATGAGATGTACTCGATAACAGTATTAGATTAAACCATCTTGAAAGCACGAGCTTCCAGTTAATAAATCTGTGGATTGACAAAGCAACATTAAGACGTTGAACCAAACTTTTGTCAATTTGCAAACATAATGATGTTTGGGTAAAGGTGGTGTAATGAAATACACGTTTTCGTTATTGTAATATGTGTATTTCTAATTTTGAGTCAACGGAAGTTGACAGTAAGGTGTTCTATAACGTGTTACGGATTATGCTATAAAAGTTTATTTTTATTCTATCTTTATTATTCCTAAGGCCTGGCATGTCCAGGTGGTTAGGGCGCTCGATTTGCAATTTGAGGGTCGTGGGTTCGAATCTCCGTCACGCTAAACATGCTCGTCCTTTCAGCCATGGGGGTATTATAATATGACGGTCAATCCCACTATTCGTTGGTAAAAGAGTAGGCTAAGACTGGGTGGTAATGACTTCTCTCTAGACTTTCACTGCTAAATTAGGGACGGCTAGCGCAGATAGCCCTTGTGTAGCTTTTCACGAAATTCAAAAATCAAATCTTTATTAAATTAGTATCATTGAGTATTTTCTTGTTTTTAACTTGTTCTTGAAGACATAAGTGCATGTTGTGAGAGAGAGAGTATAAAATTGTGTATTTTATTTATCTATAAAAACTCTGGAATAGCTTCTGTTGACATTATCAACATTTTCAGAGTTTCTTTGTTTAGAGGTTTGATCAATTGTTTTACTTTAGTGTTTTTATGTACATTTTATCTGTAATTCGGCTACTTATATTGCCATGTGTACAAATCTCGTATAAATTGACATCATAGTGTGTTTCCATAACAACGACAGTTGATTGGTTGATTAGCAGTAGCAATTTGAAGTGAATATATTGAACGAGTGTTGTTTTACACGTGCTTTCACATTAAAGACTTGGTTACGGAGGCGTTACTAGAAAAGATGCACTGAACTTTGGTTGTGTTAAGTCAACAAATGAAGGAACAGAATACCATGTCAAAACTCGCAGTTTAAAGTATTTCGTAACAAATTCTTCATTCAAGGTGTAGCTTCGTCATTTGTAGGTCTAGCCTAACCACAAGAGAACAAGCGGGGTGGGTTTGGGTGTAAAACTGTATTTTGAGTAAGGTTTTCTACTTAATATGAACATTAACTGTTTACATTTATTTTATTTATCGTTATTTATATTAAAGCAATCTATAAGGTCATACGCGTAAACATGGCGTTTGTTTTTAAAACCTTATAGTTTAAATACAAAACTAGAAACTGGTGTCATTCCTTTGCAACAAATTATTTCAAGCATTTATTAAGGAAATTCATGACAGTGATTGTTGTTTTGGGTTATTTCATGTGGCTTCAATAATTGCATTTATTGTGGTTCATAATAATTTAATGAAATGAACAAATTTAGACCATTTTTATGTCCTTCAAAAATATGGAAAGTGTATTTTAAAACGGGAGAAGAATAGAAATGATTTTTACTGATTACTTTAAAAAATTTTGGGGACAGAGTTTGTCATTCTAGATTTTTTCTAGTTACTAGATAAATTACATTATTACACATGCTTGTTATTCAGTGACACAGTTTTCTCCCATGTTTCTGGAACTCAGGCATCCAATCAAACATCAGCCCAAACAGTAGTATCTGTGGCTCCAGGTCAGCAGCAGCAGTCATCACAAGGTTCCAGAGCTACAGTAACAGTAGCTGTACCTGCTTCTGTTTCTGTAGTAGCTCCTCCATCTCAACAACAGCCTCAGGACCAACAGCCTCAGACACAGCAACAGACATCTAGTGTTGTTGTTCAAGCAAGTTCAAACAGTGGAACTCCACAGTTTATAGCTGTAGCTGGTAAGGTAGTGTTATTTAGTAAAATGCCACATAAAGTGAAAAGTTTTAGCAGTACTTAAATATAGTCTAAGGTGTTAGGTGAAATTTGAAAATACTTTGATATACTTTCATAAACATTGATGGGCCATTTAACTGAATGTGTATGGGGTCAGTCCAGTGAACTGACCCAATATTGAAGAAGTAATGTTGATTATAGTTTTGAATTTATGAAGTGTATCTTCATAAAATGTGGCAAGCTTTTAGTCAATAGAATAAATTTATTGTACACAAAAAAATCAGATGTGTTACTAAAGTTTTTGTACCAAAGATATTTCTTTGAAATGCCAGTCAGTCTGACTCAAACTGATAAGTTGTATTGCTTTTGTCCATCATACATTTTGCAAATTGTACTTGCATACCCTTTGTAACCACCCAAATGCACGACTAAAGTATTTTCAGTGTTCCTATTTATTTTATCTGGCATTTTCTCTACTCTTAACACAAACTGTTGTAAAATCAACAGTGCATGATAACATAAAAAGTTGATAACTCTGACATCAAATATATAATACTATGTTGAATGACATTTTACGAAGTCAGGACATGTATGCCCTCACCTATTCAGTTAGGGTTAAAGTAACAGTAGTGATCAATTATTAAAGTTGTCATATGAAGTTTAAAAGTGGTTCCAAAACACACTTAGCTTTTCTCACACTATAGCTTTATCTAAGTTTCTCTTCTGCCCATTTAAGCATTGGTTTGAATCTTACCTTGCTTGCTCCAGCCTTTATACCCCACTATATTGCCCAAAGCACGTTAAAACTTGTGATTCTCTTCACCAACTCAGTGTGCCCCCTATCTAAGATCCATATATAAGCTCTCTGTTCTTACTTCCTATTCACTTTTCTCAATAGCAGAAAGCTACAACGATGGTTTTACGTGCTTGCTACAGGTTTATCTTCAGTGTTGAATGGTCTTAGTTTAGATGATTCCTGTCTTCTTGGGTCTGGAGTTTGTTGTCTATTTTCTTTATTTTACAAATTAACAAAAATCAAATTTCGAAGTCAAAGTTTTCAAAAGTGATTTCAGTAATATTTTATGTTTATTTCTCTTCTTTTTTTACAGGGACCTTTTTATAATTTTCATTTGGATCCCACCACAGAGTGGTGGGTATTGTCTGGTCAGATATGCTTTCTTCGAAATTTACAATAGCTACCAGTCGACCTTTTCTGCCTGGTTGGGGCTTGGATAAATATATGTTTTTCTAATGATGCTAGGGTCTTGCCTCTGTGGTTGTTAGGCCTATACTGCCCAAGAATTAGATTTCATGTTGTCTGGGCAAAGAGTATACTTGTTCAAAAAGTAGTGTGCACCCCACTAGTGTGCTATTACTATATCTAATTTTTGCACACCTCTTTTCTATGCATACACTTTCTGTGTGGATCTTGCTCTCACTGGCCCCTACACCTTGTAAGTATGGGATTCTAAACAACAGTGAGCTCTATAAATTGAAATTAATGTTTAAGTACAACTGCAGTATCATGAGAAGTTTAAAAGTAGTTTGATATTCTTTTGTAAACTTGGATGTACTCTTTTAATCAATAGAAGTGTTCTAATATAATTAAATGTGCTAGGTAAAGATAGTTTGGCATTTTTTTCATACCTTGAATGAGTTCTTTGGATATATTTAATTTTGAATTGGAGAAGCTAGAATTGCTTTACTATACATATATGTGTGTGTGTGTGTATATATATATATATATGTGTGTGTGTGTGTGTGTAAGCCAGATATTAATAACACTCATTGTCTTTATATTGGTAATTTTTTTTATATCAAATTACAATCCCAAAAAATGTGTAATCAGTTTGGCTGGTTTTTATGTACAACCATGGTTATTTTTAAGTCTCTCAATCAGATGGACAAGGACAAGGCACTGTGGCTCTCCAGGCTACTCAACCAACCTTTGTACAGTATGTAGATGGTGGAGGTGATCCTGGAATGTATGGAGGAACAAATGCCTCAATGTATGTAAATGAAATAATAGCAGCCATTTCATAAAACTGATACCTATTTATTGTTTTCTTTTAAAAGTTAGTAGTATATAAAATAGATAAATGTGTGATATATCTACTTCTACAGGCTTTTAAAGTCTGGAAGTTGTAAATTATTTGTTTGTGTTTCTAAGAAGCTTTTTATAATGCTTGTTATGATGTTGGAATTTTTTATTTATTATTCATGCTGAGTTTGTTTTGACACGTGATGTTGGTAAAAGAAATACATTGAAGCTCTAATTGAGAATATATGTAGTTGCAGCACACAGTATTTAATTATCTTTGAAGTATAGTATTATTGTAATGTTTTTTTGTTTTTTTTTCTGATAGCTTCTATTAAATTATTTGATGAAAATAAGGCCAAGTCCAGTTCACTTAAAGATAATTTATTTATTTTTTCCTTCAAGTTTGTAAAATATTGTATACTGTTGTAATGTTTACAGATGATGTTAAAATGGATATACCTTGCTGATGTGCTATGTAAAAAAAATCAGTCAGGTAATTGGATATACAAGGTATCTAATGCTGATCCACATATTTCACTAAATACTTACTGAACTGAGCTGACTTGATACTCGGTCACTATTCACAACTAACTGAGAACAAAACATTAAATCAATGCCTCACTGTTTCTCATATTTATAATCTATTATTGTGTCTCAATATTCAACAAATTTACCAGATTTTTGTGATTTCAAACTGATAACATTCTAGACTTCAACAAACTTACTTGATCTTAAATTCGATGACGAGGAACCCACTTTGAGACTAATAATGGCTGGAGACGGCTTAAATGGGTAATGAAGAAAAACTTTAATATAAGCT